TTGACAATTTTACAGACTAAATAACGACAAAGTAACGATAAAGTACTCGGATATTCTCTCAACTTATGACATGGTACTCCTCGATCAACTCTCTCGACTCTCCGAACTACAGGGTTGCCACCTATATATATATATACATATATATATATATAGATATATATGTTTATATATATCTTGTTGTCAGGCCTTTCCCTTGGGAAACTCTTTGATTTTATGAACATGCTCTGCTTCTGTAACTAATACTTGGCCTTGCTTAGGCCCTGCCCAGCTACACAAATATACGCTACACATATGCATATATATACACATACATATGCATATATGCATTTATACAGGTAGTTATCTACGTGTGTTTACTGCATAGAAATATATATTAGATAACGCTCCGTAATTGACGGGGCGCGTCCACACATCAAAACTTTACCCAACGCCAGGGAGCGGGGAGCGTGGGACGGGGGGGCGGACGGGCAGCCATTTTAGAGTTACGGCTAACATTGGCTCCATAAAGAGACAACTCCCCCCCCCCTCCCCTCCCCCCAACAACTCCCTCGCGTGTGCGTGTGTGTGTGTTTGCCATTAGTTTCGATATCAGTTTTCTATATTTATTTCGCAACGTATCGCTTGGCATTTGGACATTCATGGAATTGTTATTACTACTACAGGCCCCCCCCTAGCCACAGCCCCTGCCCCTCCCCCCCCCCTCCCCTCCCTCCAGCGGCTGTCTTCGTAACAGCTCCCGATGCCACAGTGCGTTTTATTTGTCTGTTTTGTAGTTCCCATTGGTCTCGGGCTTCTCGCCTATTTACGTATGAATTTCAAGCAAAATAAAGCGAAATAACTTAGAGATATTGTGGCCCAAATGCACGACTAGCAGCTACCCTGTAATCGCAGTTGCGCACATATAATAAAACATACTGATAGTCCCATTTATTCTAGGAGATTGTCTTCAGTTTGCCTTAGTTTCTTAATATAAAAACTTGATTTCTAAATTGTTTTCTATATACGATTTCTAAAATCTTGATATCTGTGAATCTGTCAAATTCTGTCTCTAAGAGTAACAATTACTTTCGTAGACATATTTGCAAAGGAGCTTTAACTTTGCCCATAAAAACTTGTCTCAGTTATGTTTTTACGAACATCTTTGAAGAGGAGCTGAAAGCAGTTTGGTTCGTAAACAATAAAAAGTTTCACTAACGTGTTTTTCACAAATTTTCCACTGTTACAGGTGAAATTAACCAAAAACCCCTTTTTCATGTGCACTCAGCCAAAATATGAGCTACCTAGCTCTTACGGATTGCTCTGTGTGTCTAGCAGCAATCAATCAGACAATCAATCAATCAATCAGTCAATCAATCATTCAGCCAATCAATCATTCAGTCAATCAATCACTCAATATAGATAACAAGAGGCAGATTTTTTGGCCGTTGCCTAGACCATGTCTAAGCTACTGCTTTGTGCCGCATTCATGTTTACAGGGTATTAATAAACGAAAAGGATGAGAGAAAAACATAAAGCCGAAAGAGCGGGCGAAAGAAACATGAAATCGCTGATATTGCGCAAATAAATGGCACGACAAGGCGGATAGCAACATATATACTACCTGACAATAAGTATTAACCCCATGTTGGCTGTTGCCCACCGACAACACGCCCATCTGAAGGGCTGGGTGGCTAGGTAGCTGGTGAGAGGGTGCTGGATGGGTGCTGAGAGCGGGGTGGAAGCGGGGGGGGGGGGAGGGGGTAGGGGTAGTGTTTCCGCTTGCCTTGTTCAACTATTGACAGCGAAAAGCAATTGCAAAGCTGCGTTGCATTTTGCGTGCGATTCGATATTCAATGGATTTTTAGCTTTAGTTTTTCCATTGTTGTTGTTGTTGCTCGTTATTGGTTTATCTGGTGTTCGTGTTGTTCGCGTTGTTGTTATTGTTGTTGTTGTTGTCGCTGTCGTTGTCCTTCTCCCGGTTGTCCTTTGCACATTTTTATCGCCGCCGCCTCCCGCAGTTACATTTCATTTGCAGCCGGGCTCTGGGTTCGCATTTCAGACTCTCATTTATTTAGAACAATGCATTATGTACAAACAGACAGATAGACGGACAGACGAACGGACAGACAGCCGCTGTTTGCTCTTTATTTGTTTGCGAATTTATCGATAATTTGTCAACATGAATAACAACGCGGGAATATTTTTCTGCGCCAAATCCATTCGCACAACTTGCACTTCAATTCCTGTCAATGTTTACCATTTGTTTTGTTTGTTGCGACATTTTTTTGTTTGTTTAGATTTTTAGTTAAATATGCGTGTAGTATCGATATCATGCGTTTGCATCTCTTGAATAGGTCTCAATTCTCAGTGTTTGTTCGTTCAATAAACTGTGCTTCGTTTACATTCACTTTTTGTGCAGTTATCGATACCATTTCGATTTTTTTTTCATTGATAATTCGAGTTTTTTCGAAAAACTAACAATTGGAATAAAACTCAAACTAAAGTCAAATATTGTATCGATAACATATCGATTTCTTATCAACATATCAATATGTGTATCGCTTATATTGGGAGGTGTTATCGATAAAATTTATATATATATATGGATCATTCGATTGCTGCTTTAAACAAACAATCTGAATTCTTAAAGAGCCAGTAATATCGAGCTATAATATCGATAACATTTCATTGCATTTCGATTCATTTCGCTTATAATTCAAACTAATCGGAATGGCTTAATAATCTGTTGTATAGAGTAGCGATAACATATCGATTTGTTTGTGTTTGTGATAACATTTCGCTTTTTTTCAATTAATCAGATTTAGTTTTAAGTAAAAACAATCGGAGCTCTTCGAAAGTTAATCATACAATATCGAGTAACATATCGATTTGTTATCGTTAACATCTTAAGCTTCTATTGACAGCATTTGGACTAATAATAATTCAAACCTATCGAAGTTCCTTTAGCAAACTCTTTTTAAATATGTTTGCGATAACATTACGTTCTGTTTGCTTTGCTATTGCAAAACCCAAATCGGAACTGTTTAACGCAAATACAAAATCGATAACATATCGAACTCGATATCGATAACACCTGTTGTTGATATGCATGTACATCAATCAGCCAATCGATAACTGCCGATAACTGCTTAGTTGATCGGTTTCTATCGCATTGTAAAACCCAAATCGAAACTGTTAAGCGCAAATACAATATCGATAACATATCGAACTCCTATCGATAACACCTGTTGTTGATATGCACGTACATCAATCAGCCAATCGATAACTGCCGATAACTGCTTAGTTGATCGATTTCTATCGCATTGCAAAAGCCAAATCGGAACTGTTTAACACAAATACAATATCGATAACATATCGAACTCCTATCGATAACACCTGTTGTTGATGTGCACGTACATCAATCAGCCAATCGATAACTGCCGATAACTGCTTCGTTGATCGATTTCTATCGCATTGGCCCGCATAATTTATGGCTTCTACCCGAGCACATTAGGAGCTTTGCTCGCCAATCGACAAATTGCCCAAACCAGCGGAGCACTTAAACATCTTGATGCATTATCTAAGCCACAGCCATCGGCAAATGCCAATCCGAACTCCCTTCGAACTTCCCCCTTAAAAGAGGGGCTGCCTGCCAAGCAACACGAACTTTCCAATCCCCCATGCAGAAGAAGAAGAAGAAGAAGCAACACGCAGTCAAATAATGTGCAGAGCGTTAAATCGAAAATAAACTTTGCCGCAACAAATGACAATGAGCCAACAAAAAAAAAACACAACAACAAATAATGCAAATAAAATACAATAAAATAAAATAAAATACGAAAAAAAAAAAAAAACCGAAAATAATTTTTCCAAATACGAAGAGCAAATGAAGAGAATCAAAATAAAAGTTAAATGCAAAAAAGCAAAAAAGTTTTCAACACAAAAGTGGAATTCCCCGCGCGGCCAGGGGCTCAGCTGAAGGGGGGCGTAATATAAACCCAAATGAGCTTAGTCTGTGCAAAATCCAACACTCGCACACAAAGATTTATTGTTTGATTCGGCATGTGGCATGTGGCAAGTGGCAAGTGGCGCCGGCCTCATGCCACAGACCAGCGAGTGCGCGAATTTGCGTCGATTTTATGAATTTTATTTCGGGTTTTGAAAACCATAAAACATTCCAAATACCCAAAGCGAAAGCCGTGTAACAAATTTGCGTGTGATTTTGCTGTGGATTGAATTCGTTATTTTGCATACCCTGCAAAATGCAAAGACTCTCAGCTAACTGAAATAGCTCGCAAATGAAGTGAGGCAGACTTGTTCAGATTTATAATATTTATCAAAGTTAAAATCTGAAGATTCGGTAAACAATTTTGTTTTAAAAGTAAATGCAGTATCTAGTTCAAAATATAATCTATAAGAATTTCATTTTTCGCATAATAAGCTATATGTTTTTTATTTAAAACAATTTCTCGGCATACTCTAAAAGTTCCATAGTTAAAAAAAGAGATCAAATAATATAAATGATTAATAAAATAGAATTCCTTTAGGAGTTATTTGAATTTCCAGTAGTTCTAGCTTAAATACTAATATAAAAATAAATTTCTTTTGGGTTTACTTAAATTCTTGCACAGTGTAGGGTATTCACTAGTCGATTAGGCACGACATTTTGTTGCCTTCTTGCCTTGTTTTTTTTTTTGTGATTCTAAAGCCAACATCAATTTGGCCACGAGAATCCGCTTGATACCCTCAGTAACCCGCCGCTAACCCCTGCTACTTCTACTCCCCTGGCTTTTATTGCATTTTTTTACAATTGTTAAATTTTGGAGGAAGAGGTAATGAAGGGGGGGGGGGGGGGGGGGCACGTAAACCCCAAGGCAGGGGGCAATGAGTATATATATTTTTCATGATCTGCACTTCCCTATAAAGTATGTGAACTTTACGCACTCTCTATCTCTCTCTCTCTCTCTCTCGCTCTCTCTCTCAGTCACTCATGCTCTCTCTTTTGCTCTCTTTAATTGCAGATTAACATGTTGTTCAGGCCGAACGGGTAAGTTGACCACATTTAACACCCAGCACAAGGGGGATAAAGGGTATTGAGTGGGCGTGGGCGTGGGCGTGGGAGGGGAACCTTTGGCTAGTCCATATTGTTGTTGTTGCTGTTGTGCAGATTGAATGGCTCAAAGAAGTGCGTTTAGTCGAGCATTTAGCATTATGTTTAAGCGCCATTGTATTGCCATTGTTGTGCTTAATGCCAGAGCGAGAGAGCAATACAATGATTTATACTTTAAAGTGGCCGCAACACTGACCCCTCCACCAAAGTGCCACGCGAAGCAGCAGCAGCTGTAGAAGAGGAAGAAGTACAGTACTTGCCACAACAACGTAAAGCGTTCAACAATTGAAATTGATTGTGCTAAACATTTGAGTAATAAATGTATCTATAGATTGCCAGATATATCAAGTTTTATTTCTCGATTATATGATAATTGATTACAATGGAAGGTGTACTTTAAAGCACAAGCTCTGACAGACAGAGCAGAAGTTGTTGCCTTTCCGCGTGAATAGCTCGAGAAATCTTTGAGATATTTTGATCAAACTGGGTATTTGAGCTGTTGACGTCGACACAGAGACAGCAGCAATTGGATTTCATTTGTAGACTGAGTGGATTACAAGTTACATGAGGTCGTAGACCATATAAAAGCGTCATTTCGCGGGATATACTCGAACTGGACCTATGACAGTTGCTATCTATGCTCAAGACATTAAATAGAGATCTAGAGATTTGAAGACTTACGAGTCATAGAAATGATAATAACTCATTCTTCGATATCTCTATATCTAATTATTATTAAATGCATCTGGAAATCTGGATAGCTATAAGATATAAGCTTCACAGGTCTGGAACTATTTGAGATAAGGTCTAGTTCAATCATTTTCATAGAGCTGAGTGCTGTTTCTGGCCGGTTTTAAAGTGGTTCCAAGTCAGATCTCAGGATCTTTTGCAGCTGGGCTTACCAAATTTGGTACGTGAGCTAGTGAAGGGAACTTCAATAAAGTCCAGCTTTAATTTAAGCTCTAAGTCACTTTAGAGCACTTGCAAAATGCATTCAAAAGGGGGCACTGCCTACTGCCTAGACTTTTTGAGGCATTTCAATCAGAAAGTGTAGCAAAGCTCGCATTTGCTGGGAATATTTCAAAATTGTATTGCCAGCATTTTTGCGGTTTTCCAACACACATTTCGATAACTTCAAAGGGCCGCACTAAACACTCAACAAAAGTCCATCATGGGCTCGTTAAAAGTCTCTCGACTCTGTTTATTTTTTCTTCACACATCATCTTGTGGCATTTTAGATAGTTCGGGCCGGGCAGAGTGCATTTGTTGGCTGAGTGCATTTGCCAGAGAAAATTCTTCAAATTGTTCCATTGCAGTGAAGTGCGAAGCAATTAAAATGTCCGTCATGGCAACAGAGTTCAAGCTACATTCGAATTTACATTTGTTTTTTTTTTATTTACACAATGTTTTAGATCTTAAGTTCATTTGTTGTTTGGCCGCAAGTTGCGGCGGCATCTGCGAAGAAATTCCCTACAATGCAGCACAAATTCTTTGAAAATGTTTTCAAGAAATCAAAACAAGCCAAAAACAAGTCGGAACAGCAACAACAACAACAACAGTCTCATCAAAAAGTATAGTCATAGATATAAGAGCCAAGAGTCGAAGCTGGAGCTAGACGAAGTTTAAATACCCTTGCATTACATTTTATAATACTTTTTCAAAATGCTAAACAAACAGAAATTTCATTCAAATAAATCATAGCCAAAATTCTGTGCAAAAATATTTGTAACGATGAAAGATACTTGATCTGTATATATATAGAGTATTATATTGTAGAAGCCACATATCAAATTTGTCGATTCTAGCCATTGAAACCAAGGAGCGTTGCTTATATCGATTTCGATATCGATTTTTATCGATTGCTTGGAAACGGGGCAAGTTATCGATTATCGAAAAGAAACTCGCGGGCACTAGGAGGAACTACTTTAAACATTTGGAGTCTGTAGCTCTTATAGGTTCTGAGATCCTTGCGTTCATACAGTCGGACAGACAGACGGACGATCGATCGTCTGTTGATTCTGACCAAGAATATATATACTTTATGCGGCTGGAGATGCTTTCTTCTGCCTGTTACATTCACATAATCAATTTTACGCTTTTGTACCCATTTTCCATGGGTTCACAGCTCTATAAACACGTGAATATCAAACTGATTTGTCGTGTTTTGTCAAAAACCTAAAGCTCGCCTTGATAGAAAACTCGGCACCAATCTTCGCATAGCTCAGTTAAAGAGAATTTAGCTAGAGCCCATTAAAAAATTTGCTTCCGCTTAATCTCAGTCGCATAATGCTCGAGCCAAGCCTAATGCCCGGCTAGGGTAAGTGTATGGAAAATTGCAAAAAAAAAAAAAAACATGTTTCAAATCACAGAGCAAAAGCTAACTAACCACAGTGCGCAGGCAAAGTATGCGCACGCACACACACGCACGCATTCGAGCTGCTGCTTAGTGGCATTCCTAATGAGCTGCCACGCTTGCCACAGCCACTTGCAGCTGCCCCCAAACCAGATGCAACACCAACTACCAAACCCCCAACCCTCCCCCCGTCCCCCCGTCCCCTTGCTACGGCTACGGGTGTGGAACTGCTGCAGTTTGGCTTGACGCGGCTCTCTTGATGCCACTTTGCATGCAAATTGCGCTCGATTTGCATACTTTTCGCATGCACTGTATGCCCTGCATATATGTTTTTGTGTGCGCGCGTGTGTGTGTGTGTGTGTGTGCCTGTTTGAGTGTCGGACATTATGTGCAGTCATGAGCTGCATTCTGCGGCCACTGAAGTTATTAAGAGGAGCTCTCGGCGAAGAGCAAAACACATTCAATGCAAAAATAAATAAAAACAAATCGCAGAACATTCACCTCAATCAAATCAAATCAAGTCTGACACAAACATCTCTGAGGGTCATTCAATACAGTCTCTCGCATTATTCACGATAGTTATGCAACATTTTATGCCCAGCTCCAGGCCACAGAAAATTTCCTTTATAAGTATCTATTGCATAAGATGTGATTATGTAAATAGCTGCAAACAATACGGAATGCACTGAACGAAAAGACGCGCTTTTAGCCTCGTCTATGCCCATTTCCTGGGCATAAAAGAACGCATATCCTAAATCGGGAATAGCTCAAGATATTCTGTGTAGTCCGATTCTTAAAAAACCACTTTCACAGTCGACAAATTATTATGTGCCTACATATAAGAGTTTTCTTTTCAACTTTTCGAGGTAATTACCGAAATGTATCAAAATAATGAATTGTTCCAAATTTGTGTATGTCATACAAGAACCTAGTTACCAAATTTAATGTATGTATCTCTCAGAATTCTCGAGCTGTGCTGAAAAAGTTATGTCTATCGATCGATATTTATCGAACTTATGGAAAATAAAGAAGATATCGATAACAAGAGATAAGCGCGTTCTGCGATTAGATTAATAGATTTATCACAATTCAGCTCTACAGCTTTTGTAAATCTATAGATCTACAATAAAAAGAACTATAGAATAGAATAAGCTGACCATTTTGTGAACTCTTTCAAGTCAAAGCTCATGTCAATTTCGCTCAGTGCACACACTGAGCACATATTCATATTCATATCCATTCGCTTGTATTTTCCATATAGAAACAGTCGATAGTTCCTAAAGAATTCCTTTGTATGCACAGCAAATCACATTTCAAATGTTTATTGAACAAATACAAAAATCGTTCAGGAGGGGGTGGGGGAAGGGGGTGCTTCCCACCCCACCCCTTCCTCAGCTCTTCTGGGAAAAAAAATTGTTAGGAATTTATAATATTTTTAAATTTCAGTGGATTTTCCTTTAACGAATAGCAAATAAATACATCAATTGATGACAATCTAGCTTTATTTAAGCTTTGTCAAATTGTGATTTTAGGCCAAAAATGTGACCAGTTGACAGCTTGGAAGCTGGCCAGAGCTAGTGTTGTAAAGTGCTCGAATTGTGAGTTGAATTTTAATATGTTGGAAATAACACAACACTGTTTTCTTGTGTACTTACACAACACTAACATACAATTTTTTTGAAAGTTACTCAACACTGATTTCTATTTAACGCATATGTGTGCTTGTATATTTACACAACACTAACATGCGTTTATATGACACTGATTTCTGTTTAACTATTATATTTGACCCAACTCGAAGGTTTTTTTCACAGACAGTTACACAACACTGATTTACTAAAGCCAGCTGCTAAATCCTCAATAACCTGGGAAACAATCTCTTATGTGTTTCACATTTGGCAAAAGGTATGTTTGATTTTTGTTCGACACTTACACAACACTGAGCGCTGCACGCCAATTGCTTCACTTCATCAAATATCCATAAATATTTGAGGCATTTCGCTTTTCGGCCAACGCCAGTTTGGCACTTCAACAGCTTCGGTCGATTGAAAGAAGTGTTGCTCCTTTTCCAGCTGATTGAATTGCCTTTTGGGGCCCGTTAACAATTTGACGGTCTGTGACTCCCCCTCTCTCTCTCTCCCACTCTCTCCCCCTCTCTCTGTTGCCACAACCCGCTCCCTTAGGCGAGATGCGTGTAAACAAAGCGTAAGCATTGTTGGGTGCCGCACTCTCACGCTTAAAACTGGAGAAATAATGAGAAAATTAAACTTAATTCAAGCTGCTTTTAATGTCTGGACTGTGTTCTATGTGCTCCAGTTTCTGAGATCCATGAGAAAGTGCTTGGGTATGTGCCAGTCAAAACCTTTATGCCAACAATTTGCTGGCGTGAAGTGTTGAAGAACCTTTGACTGCATGTGTTTGACATGCATACCATACCATTTACCAACACTAGCCCTTCTACTTAGTTGCCCAGAACAGACGAATCAATGCATGCATAATTCATGCAGGTTATGCGCACAAGCCACAGACAGAGAACTATGTCAACTGTTGTTGACTTGGACAATTACGCTGTCAACGCTCAATG